CTGGCCGCATCCCAGACGCGGCGGCGGTAGTGGCAGCTGCGCAGCCTCCCCTCCCGGCCCCGCCACGTCACTTCCGCTAGGATCGATGACGTAGAAAGTAACAGCAGCGGAAATGGATTCGTGAATACGCCCCCCCCCCCATAATTGTGGCATGGGGGAAGATAACTAATTATTTTTTCCAATCTTACCTGCTTTAATGCCCCTGAAGCATTTGCGTTTAAATTTCTAAAAACAATCTAAAACAATTATTTCAATTTTTCTGAAACGATAGGAAGCAAACGTGAACAACTTTACATTTTCTATCAACGGCAAAATTTAAATTAGAAAAATCCATTTGATAAAATTTGATAAAGAATGTTACTGGGAAAGGGAACAAGACCTAAACTCCAATTAGAATCTTAAGTGATACTCAAACGAAAAAACTCAAAACAGAATTTGTGAAAAGTATGTACAAATAAACGATTTGTTACATAACTTCCAGTTAAAAATGCTGGAGAGAAATAAAAAGGTCATTTTTTTCTTTCCATCTGTCTGGATTCCACAAATTTCTAAACTACTCTTGTAGGGTTAAGAAAAGTTTGAGCAGGTTTTACTTGGTCATAATTTTTGTACTTAAGAAGGCAACAATTGTAACCTAAAATTCTTAATCCTTTTTGATGTTTAAAAAAAAAAAATTATCTGCACTTTCAGTTGCTAGCTCAAATGAATGCTAATAAAGACTGGAGATATTTCTGTTTACTTCCAAATTCACATATTAAAGAAAGAAATTCTCATCAAACCTCACAATTATTGAAAATGAAGTAACTACTCTTGTTCTCTAAGGTATAGATTTTAACATAAAAGAGAAAGCTTACATTTTGTTTTTTGTTGTTCTAGCATCCAGGAGAGAAGAGGTGCTGGCCATTCGAAGCAAATTTCCAAACAAAGTCCCAGTAAGTAGAAAATTCTTTTAAAATCATTTACAAAGCTTAAGGAATTAAATAAGCTAGGTAAAATTGACGCAAAGTTCTCCACAGAAACTCTTATCTATAGTAATGTAACTTATGTTGTTATTAAAATTTTTAATGCTGTAAACTATTTTGTATCTATATTGATTGATCCTTTACTATAAGATACAAGAACAAACTTGTGCAGCAATTGTTGATTTTCAGGTAATTGTGGAACGATTTTACAAAGAACAAAATCTTCCGACATTAGACAAAAGAAAATTCCTTGTACCTCAAGAAATCACAATGTCCCAATTTGTTACCATTATTCGGTAAGTAAGAAATGTATGCCATTCTTTTCAAATTTCATAATCTTAAAAATTTATTAACCAATAATTCTCCATTAATTTTCAGAAATCGCATGAAGTTGGGCTCCACACAAGCCTTCTACCTTCTTGTACGCAATCGATCAATGATAAGCTTGTCCCGCACCCTGGCTGAAGTATACAGTGAATACAGAGATGAAGATGGCTTCTTGTATGTTACATATGCATCACAGGAAGTCTTTGGATCTGATAATACAGGACCATAACTTGATATTGAAGGTCAGTAAAATGAGAACTAGAGAGAAGAGTTTAAAACAGTACACCAAAAACATAAATTACATGTACCCACAATTGAATCAGCATAGCCAAACAATACTTTTTCAAAAATATTAAAAAAACTAGTGGCTTGCAGCAGCAAAAATACTGCTTAACAAATCTACACAAAATGGTTTTACAAAAAGTAGCATGTACACTACTCAAGAAAAATGAACAAGCTTTCAAATTCCACTTCAATAAATTTAACCAACATTCTTCAAAAATACTGCAATCCTTGGGCAGTATAGATATAGTACAACAGTTCTGTACATACCAAGAATATCACAAATGTGTAGGTCCACATATTTGTGAGGTGTCGTCCTTGGGATCTTGCTCTCACACATCAGCTGTCATAATGTACTGAGTATGCGAGTTACATTAGTATTTGCCACATTAGAATAGGCGGAAAAACAAATACTTACATTATTCAGTCAAATTCTAAACGGTTTCATGGATTTTGGATTTTTTCAGAGTTTCAGGGTACTTAATTAAATGATTGTCACCTCTCAAATGACTGGAGGCTGCATATTTTTCTTTCAATTTCTGTTTGCATTGGAAATTGATGATGATGGACAGGCAATTGCTTGGCTGCACAGTTTTCTTTACATTTCTGCTGCAGTGGAAATTAGTAATTAGAAATAACAAATGTAGCAAAAAATTTTCAATGAAACAATCACTGGGGAAAAAATTGATTGGTTGTTTAGTACTTAAAAAAAATTATTTATATCACATTAATACATATTTTATTGAACATTCAGCATTTCCACGATTAAGAAAATTACAAAATAACATACTGTAACCAAATATTTTTACCGGGTAACATAGCATTGAAATCATGAAACGGTATTATGGTGAAAACACAAATGTTTAGTCAATCTTCATTAGTCAAAAAGGAAACTACTGGTTCTTCAACAGCACATACTTTCTTGCATTATTTGTAAATGCTATTCAATAATCCAATACCCCTACTCCACCAACATCAAGTAAACACAACCTTCCCAATGCTTTAAAAACAAAGTTTAACACTTGTAATTTTCAAAAATTCCGATTTTTTTTAAAAAGTTCTAATTTTAAAAAACAGATAATTAAGAAAAAGTATCTTTGAGATTGTAGGAACAAGCTGCAATAATGCAAATAATTCATTGAAAATAGGAACAGCATTATTTTTATAAGGATACATTGCTCTACTCTCAGGGGGGGGAAAGAAATGGTTTGTTTTTGAATATTTTAAAATTGCATGAAAACTACTCATTTTAGAAATATTGTGCATAACCTTATTTAAATCTGACTGATATTTTTTCTTAATCTGTTCAGTGTTGTAGTAAGAGACCAAAATATTTTAAAACTTTTGTGATAATTGAAAATTGATTTCAATGAGAAATCAGACCCACATGATGTATTTTGCTCTATCAGAGAAAATAATAATCAAAAATCTTCAGCCATTTTGGGGAAAATATTGGAAATGTAGAGGCTTTTAAGTAAATCAAAATAGTATCTCCATTTCAAATTAGTGGGTCTGAAATGCAGGCATTTCGATCAGTGAATACAATTTTTTTAAGAAAAAGTTTAAGTAATTTAGTTTCTGGTGTGGTCAACAGACATACATTTTGCCATAAATCAAATTTTCAGTATCAAGGACCACAAAATGTGGATTCTACCTTCACAAAGTATTAGAGGAAGTAATTTACTAAATAGAGATGATTTATCTCAATTTTCTACATCAGGGACCCACAATACAAAATTTGTTGCCACTGTAGCATTACAATTATTTTTATTTACTAAATAAGTATGTAGTAGTAAAAAAAATTAAAAGGCCTCGCAAAAGAATGTTATGAAAATAATCCTGAATTGGTGAATATACAATAACTGTAGCTAAGGCCTAAGTTCACTACTTTTTTTTATCTTCCCTGCAATAAATCAATAGAATATGACTTAAGCAATAATTATACATAGGTTTATACCTTCCTTGGTGCATTCATTCATGCCCCCCCCCCACACACACACACACGTGAAGAAAGGAACTTTGGAAAGGAATATTAATTTTAGTAACTCAAAAGTAGCACATAATGGCAATTTTAAAAAAGGTATATTTTCTCTTTCAAAACTGCTTTACACTTATATTTTCACATTGTTTCAGGGTTCAGTGCCAACTCCATGGAGAGACTGAAATGACAGTCAATGACAGAACTGAGTCCTGATACTAGTCGCAGCCTTTCAAACTGGAGGATGGGAAGATTCAAAGAGGATGCTAGTGCTGGTCTTGGCTGCATGACAGGCGGATATAGCTTACGGATGCATTTTATTTCCTTTTATAATGAAAGGCAGCAGACTGAGGCACATTAACTTGACTGCCTGAAGTTCATATTGATTTTGTAAAATTTTGTGGCAGCCTTGTCAATTGCTCAGCCTTAATTTGTGTTGAATTATATTCTGTAACTCTGCAGTCACCCTAGAGTCTTTAAGTTGCAAAGTCCTTAGGGAGGCTTTGTGATGAATTTCTACAATGGCCAATTCTTGTTGCTGTATAGGTTATGATTGGCAAGTTGTCTCACGGTGTTATGGAAAAGTTATGACAGGAATCCCATCATGATATTTATTTATGTAATCAAAGCTACGTGTAAAGGCTTTTTTAATTTTAAATGTTGATTAAAGTTAATTTTTGTATAAATATTCAGTGTTTCCGTACATCTTCCAAGTCCTTGTGTCAAAGCTTTTCAAGATCAGTTACATGTAAATAATACATTTATTCACCATGCACCAAATTCTGAGCAGCATTCATCAAGCAATCCTGAACTTCTTTTGTGTACACCAGCTGTGTTCTCACCGTACTCAAATACTGTGGATAAGTCTGCACACCATCTTGCCCAGGCAAGGGCTCCATTCGAGTAGTTGCCACTTGAAGTGGCAAATAACGTTGGCTACTTGCACCTTGTGACAAGCACTCAATGGAAGTTTTCTGAAACAAACAATGTACTGGACATAACTCTTGTTTTGGTACTGAAAACAATTTCTTTATATGAAAACATATACTATTTCACAGGTTTGATCAATGCATTTTTAACTTTCCTGTATACAGATTTGTATAAAGAGTTATGTACTGCTGCAGATAATTGACTTCAAGGTTAATGGATTTCTGGGGGCTTCTGGTAAGGATTCCCCCCCCCCTCAGTGAATAACACTAGCACCTTACACCAAAACATTTTTTAAATTTTCTCAAGTTCCAAGTTTCTTGTAAGAATACAGTAAAATACTCTTATCAAGGTGACATATGTCCAATTATCTACGAAAACTGAATTTTCGGAAACTGCAAACCATTGAAATTTTTTTCAGTTAGTACAACTAGATTTAGTTCTTTCATTAA